TTTTTTTTCTCTCGCGCAGATCTCGAACGATAACCAACAGCGTGATAGAGAACGACTGCAGCGTGCCGCGCAGCGAGTGACAATTTGTCAAAATGGGCCGCCGCGTCGCGAATGAGTAATCGTAGGCCTCGAAACGCGCAGGGATCGAACGATTGGAAAACCGCAAGATGTAATGAGTCGTGGACGAAAAGAAAAATTCCCGCGGGGGATAATTCCCACGTCAGCCACCAGGGAAACGGCCACTGCGAATAAAATTCCGACACAGCTGTGGCGCAAGCATTTTTACCGTGGAATAACCGAGCTGTGGCTTTTTCTCAGCGATTAGCTCGCCCTTCGGTAACATTATGAGTAACGTGTTCTTTGGCACGTTCCTCTCGACAGTGGTTCTCGTTCACACGGTTCTCCTTCGTCCTGTGTCCCGTTGCCCTCCTGCTATCCTCCTCCTGTCGTCCTTTCGGCAAACTGATAGAGACCAGCTTTCTCAGCTCGGTCGTCCCATTAGCGTAATGGCTCTTGCCGTATAGTCTTCGCATTTAACTCGCCAAATTCTCGTTCGTCTCTTCTCCGGCCGTCTTGAAGAACGTCTCTTTCTCCTTTTTTCTCTCTACGTCTGAAATTTCGCTCCTCTCTCGTACATTCGATTTTCTCTCTGGTCAGTGTCAAGCATACACCTCGTCGGTACTCGACGAAAGGTAAATTTCCGCGATCGAAACTTTCAGACATCCTCTGCTTCGACAAAGGTCGACCATATCGAGTAAAAAACGGATTTTCTAACTCGTGCAATTTCGAACTAATAAAGAAAGGTTGGTCAGACAGTGAACTTTGACTCTGATTCATTAGATTAATCGTGGTTTTGACAAAACGACATCCACCGATGAATATTCTCTTTAGGTACTTCCATAACATTCCTATCTTCCTCCCAGCCTTCACTCTCCTATGGTATCGCGTACGTTACACCCACATCATTCTCAGCCAAGATGCTTTCTTTCCTTCGTTTCGTATTTTCTTCCCTCCGTCAAGAGTAAAAGCGAATAAACACAAAAGCTTGGGGACAGTTGAGTACCGAACAACTTCTATGAGTGACTGTACTGCGCTGGCCAGTACTAAAGTATAAGTTGCCCGATAACGAGGGCAGGTTTTAATAAGAGAAGGATTGAGAGGTTCCTGTACCTACCTGCACTACCACGAACCGGTGGGCTCTTTCGCTGTCGCAGGACGAGCAGATAGCAACAATAAATAACTTGTCCCTGCGCTGGCTAAAAGCATCCTACCGATCCTCGTGCGGTGACCACCTCCACCGTCGCACTCGTTCCGGCCGACTATGCTTATCGCCTCTTGTCTTTCTGCGTTTACCGCGATATCGTTTCGCATTGTGGCCCTCGCTATTCTGTGCCCGGCACGGCCAGTTAGAGAAACGAGAAACCAAGCGTACAAGGCGTGCGCCTTCGTTACGTTTTCTATATTAACCACTTGCGCTGGAATCGAGAATTTTTCGTCCCAAAATTGCAATATTTTCTCAGTTTTAAGTATATTTAAGTAAAAAAAAATAAGATAGATAGAATTAATAAATTTATTACTTCTCAATAATTTCCAGTGATATACGATATACCGACGAGTTCAAAAAGAAAGCGACGAATTATTGTGTACGGTTTGGTCACTCGTTATGGTCCGCAATCAGTTGCCAGCGCAAGTGATTAACCTCTTGCGCTGGAATGACGTGGCACGCACGTCGAGAATTTTTTGTCTCAAAATTGCAATTATATTTAAGTACAACCTAGGCAAAACAAATAATAAATTTATCACTTTTCAATCATTTCTATCCAGTGATGCCATACCGACGTGTTCAAAAAGAAAGCGACGAATTATTGTATACGGTTTGGTCACTCGTCATGGTCCGCAATCAGTTGCCAGCGAAAGTGATGAAAGAATCAAAGAAAGATATTTTCAATCGTGAACGAAATTGTCTCTCTTCATCGAAATTGTCAACGACGATCGCGAATTCTCGGATTGCGCAATGATTGGTGGAGGAAGTGGGGCCCGGGTGAGCGTTAAATTTGGTTAATTACCAGCGCGAGTGCTCGTGAAATCCTTTTGCAAGGATTACCGGCGTGCGGAGGTAATTAAAGAGATTTGCAACGGGCGTTTTTTGCAAACCGCAAATAACCATGCAAACCGTGAGAGAACCTCGGTGTTACGCTCGAGCTTTCTCAACGCGCGCGCGAGAATACCAGTGTAACTACATGCATCCCACTGTCTTTTTGCACGGAGCGGCACGGAGATCGGGATTTCGAAATCGCGGATACTGCAGATTAGTCCGAGGGGAGGACGGACGGGCCTCGATTTCGATAACGTATTCGGACGTTGCTCGAAATGGTTTTTTGCGCCGATTGATTACCCAGGGTTCGCTGGTAATTGGATACTCGTTTGAAACGGTAGCACGATGGTATCCACCGGGAAATCGAATTACCAGGCGCGATTTCTCCCCGCGAGCCACCGTTCACCGTGTTAACGGGGATACAACATTTTTCCCAAGGAAAGATTTCTTTCGTCCTAGCTCGTGACTCGGAACGCCCGGGAAAGCTAGGCATTTCTTCTTCTTTTTCTTCTTCTTCTTTCTTCCTTTTTCTTTTTCCTTTTTCTCCGGCTCCGCTGTTCGAGCCGACAATCCGCGCTTGCTTATTAATCGTGAAACGGCGATATTCTGAATATACAAATTGCAAGCACGATAAGAGCGATCAGAAAATCAGACGCGTTAATCGGCCGGCGATAATAATCATTATGCCCTACTCGCGGCAATTACCGGTGACGATAATGTAGCACAGCCGCGCTTGTAATCACATGCTGCGTCGCGCGGATGCTGCCGCGTGAATCCGGCGAACGAACGACATTTGCATTAACGAGCGAATTTACCATCGAGCGGATTATCGAATTTCCAGTGAAAACGCAATTTTTAGAAAACGGTAGAGAGGGAAGGGGAGAGGAAGACGTGCTATGACGGAGGCGGAGGAAATGACCGGAAACGAACAGAAATAAAGCAACTGGAGTGGAACAGAAGAACAAGCAAAAGGAGGCGCGGGGGAAGAAAAAAAGAAGATTGACCGGCGGTTGTAAAAAGTTTACGGCTTAGTCGACCGCCCTATTATTTAAGAGAGAGGATGATTCATTGGGTTTCCATTCCGCAGCGAGGATTTTTGTCCAGTTTTCGGTACATTCAGGTATACAACGCTTCTCTTTCTCTTTCTCTCGGCGTTAGGACGAACTTGACTACAGGCTAGGTAGATAACTGCCATTTACCCCGCAGTGCGTCACTTCCGGTTCCCGACGCGACCACCACCGTTTAACCTCTTGCGCTGGAATGACGTGCCACGTACGACGAGAATCTTTTGTCCCAAAATTGTTACAATTTCTCAGTTTCGAATATATTTAAATGTAAGCCAGGGAAAACAAACGATAAGTTTATTACCTCTTAAATAATTTCTATCCAATGATACCATGCCGAAGAAAAAGAAAGCAAATTATTGTATACGATTCGGTCACTCGTTATGGTCGGACCAATTGCCAGTGCAACGGCGTAGAAAAATGTCAGCGCGACATCTTCGTTTATAAAAGTCGAGTGAAACGTTGGCGGTGATCGATAATCGATTAAACACGTGTTCGACGACTCGTACTTTGCCCTCGAGTTAATACTCACTGTATTATAACTTTATTACACTTGTTAAGCGTATATGGCAAGAGCACGGTATAAAAAGTAAGATCGTTGCAGTTTGTATTACTTCAATTATCAAATTATAAGCTGGTTTGTTAACAAGCTGTAACAATTTTATCGTACTCACCTTCTACTCTGCACATTCTGCATTCATCAAATATCGGCTCTTTCGAATCTTTTGTCATGTACTCGATCGGTCTGCTGATTTCATCTTCTGTAAAAAGAAAATTTTTCACTTTTAGCGAAAGAAAGAAGTCACGTTTGTTGGCTAATTGTTA